TATTTCATTTATGTATTTAAATTTTAATTGCACATTATAATGTCTAAGAAATTGTCAATATGTTTTCCAAAGTGGTTGCAGAATTTTTTAATTATTCTACGAATACTTGAGACCATTAATTGCTTGATTCCTTATTAGCATGTATGTATTTCGTGGTGGTTTTAATTTATATCATTCATGATTAATGACTTTGATTACCTTTATATGCACTTAGTAGCCATATATATGTCATATATATAATTATATTTCTTTACATCTTGTTAATGAATTTATTATGCTTTTACTGTGTTTTGAAGCTGTTTCTCTGAATGTTTATATATCCACTTATATTGAAGTCTTTTGCCAGAATTCTTTGTTAGAGACAATTTGTGAATATTTACCATTGTTTTTGATTTTGAAATCTTTGCAGTCCTCTTCAAAAAGCAGACACCTTTAAATTTCATTGAGTCCAGTTTTATTTTTTCAAGGAAACCATGCTGTAGTATAGTAGCTAAGAATTTTTCCTAATACAACCTAGTACAAATTTACCTTCTATATAAATTCTGTAATATCCATAAGTCTTCAATTTAGGTTTGCATTATTCATTTTCTGTTAATTTTGTTACTAAATATGCTATGATTTCTTTACATTCAAGTATCTACTGTAAGAGACAGCATTTATTTTTTCAAGCAAGTAGTTTCATATATTTATTACCGAACTAACCATTTAGTCTATAGCATAGCAACAAGGAGCAGTGTCTCAATGAAATGTATCCAGTTGTCCAGACAATGGTACCCATCTCAGCAGTGTTTGATTAAGATGGAAGTGACCTTGACAGAGCATGAATATGTATGCTATTTCATGTACACATCCCTATAGGTCTAGCTTGGTTTTCTGCAATGTCTTCTTTGGGAAATGTACATAATTTTGTCACCAGTTTTCTTCCAAATGATAGCAGTTAGAGACAATTTTGCTTTTGGTTCTTGATTGAAAATTGATTCTGAAAGTCATGTAAGAAAACATAGAAACAAAGTCAGAGCATAGCCCACAATAGCACAAAATATGGCAGGAGCTACTTCTGTATTTCTAACAGGCTCATAATTCAGAGGATGCTAGGAAAAGGAGTCATAACAGAATAATTAACTCTGTAGTAAATACAGCTTTTCTTCTGTTTGCAAACTCTAAGTAAAACCGTGAGATGTCAAGGTACTTCATACTTATTTAAGTGTGTCCTAGGACAAAGTTCAAAGGCAAATGTAGGAATGCAAAGTTACTTTACCCTGAACAAGGTAAAATTCATGAGATTGGCAACCAAATGATATATATATATATATATATATATATATATATATATATATATACAAGTATATAAGGAAGTAAATATAGACTCATTACTTCAAGAGAAAAATAATAAACTGAAACCACCTCCAAACGGACACAAGTTAGAATTAGCCAACAATGAGGCTGGGATTTAGCTCAGCAGCATAAGCACCTGCCTTGCAAGCAGGCGATCCCCGGTATCGATATTAAAAAAAAAAATTAGCCAACAAGAATATTAAAAAGGTTATTATGAACTGTGAATATATAATATGCAATTATATATATATATGAATACAAATTATAGTGTCTGAAAACAAAATAACTACCGAAGATTGCCAATTAAATAGTGTAAAATAAAAGATTAGCAAACATGAAATTCTAGATGAATATTGTCTAAAATAAAACAGAGAGGAATGAATATAATTTTCATATATGTTACAGATATATTAAAAGTGGATATTTGATATAGAGTTTCAGTGAAACATGAGATGACTTCACAAAATTTGATATAGAGTCCACAAATTTAGGGAAATTTGAATTAATTTGAACACATTAATAAATGACTAAATTTTTCTAGATGAAATGAATTCAAACAAGCCAAAACACAAGAGTAATGATGACATATTATAATTAAACTGACAACAGAATTAGCTGGATTTAGAGACTCACTTCTGAGTAATTGAATGATACATAGAACACATTAGGTATACAGTGGATGGACCAGGAAGACAAGGTGATACCCAAATGCTCAAGGTTAACTTCGCCAAGATTAATGAATCGTAGTGAGATGCACTGCCTGAAATAACGTGATAAGTGTGGCACGGAGTTTTGTATTATTGCCCTTTAAAATTTATAACCTCACTCCATGCATGAGAAAACAAGAGGTTTTTCCATATATAGCAATACTTAATAGTACTTAACACTTAATACTTAACTCAATAGTACTCTTCAAAATTGTCAAAATAATAAAGAAGAAGAGGAGATCTTGGCAAATGGATAATTAAAAACACAATGCTTCACACTGTTTGGGGGAAAAAGTGGATACGTTAGTGGGATAACTGGAAAAGTATGAAGAAAGTCTCTAACAATATGAACAATATTGTATCAATGTTATGCACTGAAAAAGTTTGTTTAACTCAGCAGCTGGCCGTACTAATCAATGTCTGGAGGGGAACTGCCACTACTTTCGAGCACCTCTTATAATTGTAGAAGACCAAAATAACTTGTGTTAGTCTCATAACGTCTCATTAAATTGATTGTTAGAATATTTATACTAGGTTTTCTTTTTCTAATGCATATATTTCAGGGGCAAACTCTGTATTGTTTGGTGGATGTAGCATGGTGATGCTTGAATAACTGTACCCCAAGGGTCATGCATTAAAAGTTCCCTGCCAGAGCCCTACTGGGAAGAGGAGGACCATTAAGCAGGTGCAACCACCTGAGGGGATGCTCAGGACACTGCTATGTCTCGCAGATGGGATCATGGGATCCTGTTCCTTTCCTCTTGCCCATTGCTTCCTGGTTGATGATGTAAGCAGGTTTTCCCCCCATCATGCCTTGTTGGTAACAGTACGTCCACAAAAAGCCCAAATGAGTCCAATGGACTTGGACTGGGTAGCTTCCAAAAATATGAGATAAAAAAATCTTTTTCTATTTATTAGATAATTATCTCAGACTTTTGTTAAAGTTCTAGCATTATGGAAATATAAACGTTGATGTCAGAAGATGGGACTCTCCATACTATCTCTATAACTCTTGTTTAAATTCAAATTCATTTCAAAATGTAAAGTTAAGAGGTGAACTCTGTAAGAGTTATTTAAGAATATTTAGAATAAGTTAACTAATGGTTTTAGAATATTCTGTGATCTTAAGCATACTGTAGATAACTTTTTTTAACAAAGCTATTGTTAGCTGTGTTAGCTTTTTTAACAAAGCTATTGTTAACAATTTGCAATTTGTAATGTCTCATTTTGCAGTTCCTTATGTCCTTTCTAGAAATAATATAGCTGTTAACCAAAGGCTTATACCGGTATCTTAAAATTAGGAGTATTCGTCCTTGAGTAACTTGGTCTCCTTTCCCCAGCGGTGCAGAGTATCTGCCTCCCTAGCAAGACCAGCGGGTGCAACTGTTGTACAGAACTCACATAGATCTTTAGATTATGATATTTACAAATGATTATTCCACACTCACGTTGTACAAATGTGAATATAAATTCTCAGTCTTCACCATTCTTGTTCCTACTTTGATAAAATAGAGAAGAAAGAAAGAACATACTTTTGAAGACAAACCAAGATGCTTCCAGCAGGCAAGAAGAGCAATCATTTTTTCCAATCTTTTTGTTGGCTAGGCTTGTCAAGTTCAGGCCTGAGTGTGGGACAGAAATCACAGCAATAAGGCACTATCTACCAGGATGGCTTCTCGATAAGCAAATGCAACGAGACACTTCTTAATGTCAAGTCACCATGGTTAATTGCTCCGCAGCAGACAGCATGCTTTTTCTAATAACCAACTCTGCATTTTTATGAGGCGCGCTGGCCATTTAGCATTGCCAGGTTTTCCGCTGTTTTGTAGTTTATCATTCTGTTGTATTTTCGAAAAGATTGCCTGGGGCAATTATCAGTCAAGTGAAGAGAGAGAAATGAGGTGTGCCTCGTCTCAAGTTGTGGTTGACACTGAATAAATATTTCTGGTGTGGCATAATTATTATATTGTTGCAGTGAAAAACACCGCTCACGGGTCTTCGCCATGGCTCAGTGGATGCACTTTCTCATTTTGCTGTAGTCCTGAGGCACATACTAAGAAAGGGTAATGAAAAGATGTGATCATATTTGCACAAACTATAATCTTTATAAACAAGAAGGAATTTAAATAGTGTTACAGTACAACGCAAACACATTTTGCCCCACTCAGAAAGTCACACTGTCATGTTTGAACCACTGCACAAATCTTAGCAACTTGGAACCACCATTAAAAGCAAGTTACTTTGTTTCTGTTTTGCTTTCCTGCTCCAAAGAATTTTAAGTTGGTAATTTGGGGAAAAAATAAATCACATGCAATATGGCTATCAAAGACTTGATACTGGTTTCTGCCCAGGGAGATTTTTATTTGGAGGTCAGTCTCTGAAGTTGCACCTTGTTTACACACCCTGGAGACTGGACAGATTGGCAGCTCCCTCTGCTGTTTCTCTGGGTGAGGTGCGAGGAGTCAAGGCTCTACCCCTTGTGTAATTTCCTTTCCGGGGATGCTGGGCTTTCACAGCTTGTCAACTAATGGCCTTCAAACTGACAAGCTTTCAAATACTAGTTGACTTTCAGCAGTCTGAGGGCACCTTTAGGACACCTGCTTTGAAGACCTATCTACTTCAAAGAAATCTTGATATTGCTATTAAAGCGAGGCATGTGAATCACACTCTTTCTTTGAAGCTTTCTATTTCTGTCTGTATCCGTCTGGTCTGTTTACAACAGATGCAGGCTTCTGAAAAGCAGACCTGCTTGGCAATACAATTTTTTTTGACTTGGTAATCTGGTATCTTATATATATTTTTTCAGAAACATTTCTTTTTTATGAATTTCAAATTGATGTTTCTCTTATTCTAGCGATCATTCGCATCTTGTGTATGGATCAACTTTTTATTCAACTACAGATTTTTCTAATAATTTATTCTACAGTTTTGTAACCATGGTTTTGTTTTTATGCCTACAGAAAAAGGAAAAAGAACCAGGTGCTACCATTTCTCCAAATAGAATTTTCCGGAGATTGTGTGCCTTCGTAAGTAAGTTTTCTGTACCTCGGGAGGGTCTTTTAAATATGCTGCAAGAAAAGTATTGTGCTTTGGTGGTTCAGCTATTTTAGATTAAGGAACACATTTTTTTTTTTTTTTTGGTCTTTTTCATTTTTATCGGTACCGGGGATCGAACTCACGACGACCTGCTTGCAAGGCAGGTGCTTATGCCGCTGAGCTAAACCTCCAGCCCCTTAAGGAGCACAATTTAAGAAACATAGATAATAATCTCCTTCATTGGCTAACACAAAGAAAACCATAATTACTCTTTTCTCCCTAAAGTAAATTTCAACCAAATACTAGAATTTTCTGTGAACAGTTAAAATACATCATACAAGAAAAAAAAAAAAAAAAAAGGAATAAGCCTTAAGTTCACTAAAGCATCTGTTCTTGAAATATTACCACTTAATTAAAAGAAAAAAATACACATTTATTGACAGTTTTTTTTTTTTTACGAACCCTGTGTATAATAGTCATAACACCGTGTACGTCCTCTCAGAACGGATATTTATTCTCACTACAATGAGAATGTATGTAAAGGGAATTCTACACACTATCCGACCTTCTTTCGGGTAAATTTTTTCTACTCTTTTTCTATTTATTGTCTTTTATTATTTTTTTTTTGTAATGAAGATTAATGGTTTTGCACTGAACTATGTCCCACCGGTCTTTACTTCTTTCTTTCTTTCCTTTTCTTTTGTTCTCTAAGACTGCCTTGAACTTGGAAATCTCCTGCCTCAGCCTCCCAGTATGCTGGGATTATAGGCACATACCACATACCACTATGTCCCTCTTCCTCTGGCTTTTTCAAGTTGCTGTAGGGCAGAATGGATGGTAAAATGATAAAATAGACTAAACACTACTTCATAAATGCTTATAGTTTTGCAAAGATGATAAAATGCATAAATACACAAGCTGAAATGGTAAAAGCTCTATGAGAGTAGATAATTAATGTTAAAGAATTTAAAGCAAAAAGCACTTAAATACATAAGGGAAATTCAAATTCTCTAGTAATGTGCTATAAGAAAATTATATTTTACATATTAATGAAGGCAATCATGTACATTATATAAAAAGTTAATTTTATTACCAGATTGTAGAATTTTTCAAACTGCTGTTCTACAAAACCTGGGAGATCACTATCTGTTAAAATTACTTCATAGATTTTATAGTTTAACATCATGAAAATAAAATAAATAACAGTTATACTTGCACTGTTATTACTTAATCACTCATTTGATCTTTATTTAATCACAATTACAAAAAGAAAGCATTCCTTGGGATATTATAAGAAGAAAATCTTGAACTCTATAAAATCACGCTGATTGAAATGGATATGATTTTCATCAATTCAGCAAGCATCACTATTTGAATTTTAGGAAAAATTTAATAAAGGACAAAATGAAGGTAGCATGATCTAGTTTACTGACAGGTTATTCTATATAGCTATAATAACTCTGTGTGAGAACTATCTCCATAACCTGTTACACAGCCTCTGTCAGTCTCTGAGACGTGACCTACTTTAATATATTCAAGGCAGTATGCTGAAGTATTGTATCTGCAACCTCAAACTATTATATTATTCATTGAGGCATTGTCCAAAACCACAGCAGCTGAACTGTGATGGAACCCTGAAACATTTTCTTCTCAATCCTCTAGTTCCTAACTTGCTATGTTGAGATCTGATAAGTCTACATTTCCATTTTAACTGCAAACTCATGGTAGTCAAAATGGGGATAGGTAGGTACCTGAAACTCACTGCAAAAAATAAATTCATCATAAGATAGGTAACTATCAACCACTGAAATAGCTTTATTGAGCAAACAATACAAAATGTAGTTAAAAATATACTGTCAATCAGGTAGTGATTAAGAAATATTCTGCATGTGTTATATTTAGAGAAATAGTTTTATTCATATATTTTTCTTGCATATCTCTTTGGGAAAATAATTTTATATCAGCAATAATATCTCTGATGATATTACCCCTTAATTATTGAAACATTAGGTATTCAACATCGGTAAATGTACAAAAAAATCAGAAGTTTATTAGTAAATGCAAAGAAGTATTTTTCTCGAAATATATTATTTTTAGAACTTCAGGCATTTCTTGTTAATAATGTACAGATGACAGATAATAAAAAGCTAGGAAAAAGTATCTACATCCTTATAAATAGTTTAAGACTTTTCCTTAGCAGTCATTTCCGCTGTATTCTTCCAAAGAACATTTAACCATCTTGCTATTATGCAGGAAATGCTATTTTCATAAAGTGTTCCCACTTGTAGAAAGCTTTGTCATGAAGTCTTATTACACATATGTGCTTGGAAGTCAGTTTTCTTTATGTTTGTTTTCTACTAGTATTTCACAAAATGTCTTTTGCAGTTTCAGGTTCTACAGATGTTACAGCATAAAAGACAATGGATGACAATGTCAATCTCCCTGTGCTGGATGACTGTAAAAACAACTCCTGATCCAATTAAAATGACATGTTACATTTCTAAGGGAACTGCTCAGGAATAATGTCAGCTCTGTCTAGAATAACTACTGCTCTCTGGATTTCTGTTTCCCAACTGTAAATGATAATACAATAAACATTCACTATGCATCAATATACTCTGCAATGGTTTTTCGACTTTGAATCTTTTACAAAGATTTTATATCACATTTTCCAAGATCAGTATTACAACTTTATTTTGTCAGAAGACATATAAACTCCAGCTACTTACAGCTGTATGCTTAGCAGTAACATAATAACAACTATAGAGTAAAAAGAATCCAAAATACTATAATTACAATGTATATCTTTAAAGAGTTTAACAGAACTATTAAGAGTAACTTTTAAGTCTTCTCTGCCTTACTAAAGCTGTGGTTAAAGTTCTTAGAAAGTACTTAATTTGTTTTATCTGTCACATACTTGGCAGCTTAGCTTCCCTCAGTCAGGCAAGAACACTTTTAGATACCTTGACCAAATTCTCTCCTGCTTAGGAATTTAAAGTGGGTGAAATCAACTCCCTTCTCCATTAATATGCTCACACAACTAATGTGATTTCTATAACCAAGTTGGTGAGTCTTACTTCAAGGTAGGTAAAAAAGATACTAAAAACTGGCTTGGCTCATGGACACACCTTATTGAATTCAGCATATAGCTCTGAGTAAGTGATATGGCAATAGGACATGCTCAAATAAAATTGAAAGTGCCTGGAGTAAGTTTAGACCATTAAAACATGAGCAAATTGATATTTTTCTTCTTTTCGAAGCAATTGCTTTTGTAAGAAAAAGGTTGCTAATGTACTGATAATTTGGAAATCTAAATCATGGATGTTAGAGTTGTTCACACATAATTATCCAAAGAAGAGTGATTATTTTCAAGATGACACCTGATCTGTGCTTTTAAGTATATTAGTGAAGGAGAATAGCTTACTTCTGTACTTCGTCAGCTTCTAGCTGATCATCATTCTTTACGGTTTTTTTTTTTTTTTTTTTTTTGGCAAGACATTTATACTTCTATTATCTGCATACACAGTACAGTACATTGTTATTTGTTTCTGTATAGTTTAATGTATTTTAAATTTGTACATCATATAATGATAGCTTATAGTCATATTGTATGAGATACAATGGTGTTACGATTTCTCATATAGTGTGACACGATTAAGTTACACATAATTAAGATACATACTACCTTAAATAATTAACATACTTTGTGATGAAAACATTTGAAACGCACACTCTTAGCAATACTGAAATGTACAGTTATTGGCCCATCATCTCCCCATTTTCTCTACCCCCAGCCACTGGCTTCTATGATTCTATTCCCTAATCTTATGGGTTGAAGCAAGTTTTACATGTGAGTGAGAACATATAATATTGTTTTTAGTGCTTGCCTTGTTTCACACATAGCACTGTCCTCTCCACTTCCATGTACATTGTCATGAATGACCACTGTTTCTCGCCTTTTAAAAGATGAATAGGTTTCCGCTGTGTATATGAACATTTTACTTATTCATCCATTGATGGACACTAGTGATGGTGCCCTAGCTCATGTGTTGTGTTTCAAACTATATTGGGGAAAGGGTTACAGATAACTCTTTTACATACATCCCAGAAGTAATTTCATGTGAATTCCTAAAGTGGAAATGATGGATTGAATGGAAATTCTATTTTTATTTTTTTGAAGAAAATCCATATTATTTTGAAGAACAATTTACTAATTTACATTCCCACAGAGATTAAGTGAGTGCACTCTTTTCTCCACATCCTCAGCAATGCATAACTTTTAATTTTATAATAGTAGCTACTGTAAGATATGTGAAGGAATTTTTCAGTGTATTTTTCATTCACATTTCCCCAATAATTAGAGATAAAATTTTTATACATGTGTAAGCAAGTAATATGACTTCTTTTTGCTCAGTTTTTGTTCAGTTACCTTGCCCATTTCTTATTTAGATTATTTCTATAAACATATTTTATTTCTATAAACATATTTTTGATTTATGTGTTTTCAACTCTAATTGCTTATCACATATTCAGTTTGCAAGTATTTTTTCTGCTAAGTTTTTTTTTACTCTGTTGTTTTTTTGTTGTTGTGCAGAAGATTTACTTGTATGTAACACAATTTTTTCATCTTTAACTTCATTGCCTAAATTTTTGCCATCAAATCTAAAGTATATCATTAGTAATAAAAAAAATCATATAGATTTTTCTCTGTGTTCTGCTTGCTTTACAGTTTTAGGCCTTCCTTATCTTTATATTTTAATTTATATTGAATTGATTTTTTGTATGTAATGTGAGATGAAGGTCTAGTTTCACTCTTTTATAGAGATATGAAGTTTTTCCAGTACTACTTACTGAAGAGACTTTTTCCCATTGTATATTCTTGACATCTTCATCAAATATCAGTTAATGTGAATTTATTCAATATTTCTCTATTCGCTTTCATTTAAAAATAGGCAGCGTGCTATCTCCAATTTTGATTTTATTTCATTCAAGATAGCCTTGGATATTTGATTTATTGAGGTGCCATATCAATTTTAAAATTTTATAATTATGAAAAATAACTTTTGAATTTTGATAAATTACTAAATCTGTAGAATAGTTTTGGTCCATTTTAATAATATTTTTCCAATAGGATATACTTTCATTGATTTGTGACTTCTTCAAATCCTTCATTAATCTTGAATCACTTCTCATTTTTTATTTTAATTTTCATTAATATATATATATATATATATATATATATATATATATATGTGTGTGTACTACCAAATGATTACATTCATCATGATAAGTTGGCACATAAAAAGAGATGGAGCATATCTTTTTTACGCTTGTGCAAATTTATTCCTAAATAATTTATTTGTTTTATTTACTGTAATAGGTTTATTTTCTTCATTTCTCCTTAAGAAAGTTCATTTTTAGAATGACAGGATAGAGGCTCCATCATGACCAAATAGATGGCAGCAGAAACAGAATGTGATTTCAAGATGTGTAACAGAAAAATTCAGGACATTAAAAAGTAGGCAGAAAACAAAGCTGGATACAGAGAGGAATAGGGAAGAAGAAACTGCTTCAGTGAAAGCCTACTATCAGGAGAGTTTAGAGTGAGAAGCTGAGCTGTGCTTGGACCATATAGCCACCTGCATATCAAGTACTATGTACATACCAACCTGGGAGAAGATCAAAAGTGCTGAGGAAGGGGACCTGCACCTTGGAAGCAGATAGCCTGAGGAGAAAGGTGCCTCTTCTTTCAGTTCTTACTGGGAAGGGGAATACTGCAAATAAGATATTCATAGACAAGTGTATCAGGGAAACTGAAAGCCAGGAGCAGTGTTTGAGAGGTAGCATTAGGCCCCTGGGGAAATTGAAAACATGTGTAAAACTCAGATCATGGGCCCAAGTCATAGCACCAAGAAGACCTGGCCTCAGGGTCTACCTGAGTGGGGAACATCTGCTAATAGTTTAACCTTGGGGAGAGCAGAAACCATACTGAGCCTGAAGTAGGCACTCACTCAATCTTCCCCCAAACAGTAGGGTCTTGTGATCCTGAGATATTTGCTCTCTGCCAATAATCCACTGATAAGAGACCACAGTGGAACTTCCACACCACTTACAGGACTGCTGAAAATATGGACCCTGAGGCTTCTCCAAGCTCACAGGTTGGGTACAGTGAACAAGCAAGTGAAATAGTCAAACAGCTAGAGAATGATTCCCTGCATCAAAGATGCTCAGGTGTACACTTGATGGAAGCCTTGCAGGGGAAGAATACAGGACCAACTACAAGATTTGTCAAGCACAGAAGGTAGTAGGGATAAAGAGGATCTTGGAGGAAATGAGAAAAAATGAAACAACAAGCCAATAATACTGCATCTTGCCTTCTTTGAATTAAATAAGCAAGACAAATCTGAAGACAGGCAAAATCAGACAGGCAGCCACATGCAGGTCAAGGGCTGCAAGAGGGAGCTGAGATCAAAGGTCCTTCTGGATTAAAGGGCCTTCTGGATCCCCAAGGCTCCAATCTCACAGCAGGCAGTTAGTATGGTGTGGGGGGAGAGGGAACTCAGAAACCTTCAAAAACAGAGGGCGCACTGTGTTGTCAGGGAAAGAATGAGTAATGTTTGCTCACAGTGGTGCCTAGAGGGTGGGAGACTTATACCCACCAGGCCATCTACACCCCTCTACAAGACAGAGCTTCTCTGGATGTGAATATGTGAGGAAGAACTCAATAGCTGAACTGTACTGCAACATAAACAGGACTACAAGGACCCTTTAATTTTGTGGTTTTGAAATCATGTGAATTTTTACTTTTTAATTATGATTTTTTTTCCTACTTTCTCTTTTATTTTTCCCTTTCTTCTCTCTTTCTTGCCCCTTCATTTTCCCCTTCTGTCCCCCTTTCCCCATGGAATACTTATATGTGTAAACAGAATATTAATTAAGCAAGAGTGAAGCACTATTTAATCTAAATAAAATCCATTATAGACAAGACAGGATACTTCTCACTAAAACTGCATACAGAGATTCTAAACTTTTAACATATTAATAGCTTTTCTCACTCTCCAATTAAACTAGTTTCCCTTTGCATCCATTCCCTATTACCATGACTAATCTCTCTAGTTCTCAGAAGATGAGTCCTCTAATCCTGGTATACATAAATAATTTGAACAGAGTCCAAGCCAATCTCTGTTTTTACATATTTAAAGATTTTTCATCTCTCCTACATTTTGTACTGTTTTAGTCCCTTTATTTCTCTCATCCTTTTTCCATCCTTTCTCCTTTTACATTCCAGTCTGCTTGTGAATGTTGTACTAAAATGCTAAAAAACTAAAATGCAAAGTTAAAAAGATTGACTGGAGCACTGACCACACAGCTATAGATTAACTGACATGTAATCATACTGTTCTGTATGCGTCGTCAGCCTAGTAACCTCTTTGCTGTGTCAACCTTTGTTCCCTTTGTGAGAGACAAATGATGCTATGTCAACCTTTGTTCCCTTTGTGAGACAAATGATGCTATGTCAACCTTTGTTCCCTTTGTGAGACAAATGATGCTGTGTCAACCTTTGTTCCCTTTATGAGAGACAAATGTTCCTGGAATTAGCAGACCAAGGCCAGTAA